GGGGAGCAGCGGGCGGGTCAGGAGAGGTCTGCCATGCCATGTGGTCTCCTCCGGGGCAGGCGGGAATCGAACTCATGCGGAAGTGGTTTTAGCTTCTCAATGCTGTGCTTTAACCCGCTGCGCCACCAGGGAGGGCCCACATTGACTTTTAAACAGCTGGGATAGATGAAGAACTTGCTGGCTCAGTTGATGTCAGTCATCCTTTTGGTATAGTAGGAAAGAACTTAAATTTTTGTTTTTGTAAAGGTAATACATATACATGGCTAAAATGCCAGCAATCAGAAGAATGAAAACCAGTGATCTCTTTGTCCCCCATTTTGATGTAAGATGGTATGCTTTCATTAGTTGACTAAAATTAATGATTAAAAATTGATTGCCCAAGCAATATAGTATTATATTGACAGTGAGGATCACACTATTATTTTATAAAAACAAAGAATTACTGAGTTTGACTAAGAGTTTTACTATCTGAATATCTCAGTGACTACCATTGGAAGATATGTGATCTTTAAGGCAAAGATTATAACTTTAAATGCAAAAAAGGACCGTGTTGGTGTCTTCAGCCTTTATGTCTTAAACAGATTTAGATTTTTCGCATTGAATATAATTGACCACAGTTTGACAGATGTCTTGGTCATGTACGTTATTGCAAACATCACTGACCATATGGCATAGAGATTTAAACAATTTATCATTTCCTTTGATGGGAAAATGATACTTGAGACCCCAATGCCTGGCTTTTATAGATTCCTCTGACTATTGTCAACTATTGTAGTTCTTATAGGGATGATTGAGAAAGGCTCTGCACCTTCAATTTTATGATTTTTGCATTGTGTCCCTAAAAATAATTTCTGTACCTTTCTGTTTTCTTTGAGAAATCTACTTCTGAGGCAGTAGTTGCTGTATATGTAACTATGTGATGCTGAATTTGGTTTTGAGAAGTTTTAGAATACAGAAAAGTGGTTTTATCTAAAAGGATCAGAGGCTAAATTTTTAGTATTTATAGTCATATTGTCTCCACTTAATATTGAAAAGTCCTGACCAGGAAAGGAGTAGCTTATGGAATATCTAGTGTCCAAAGTGCATCTTGAATATCAGTGTATTCTCCATAGTGGTGAGCATAATGGTTTGCAAAAACTGATCTAAGTTTGATAGTTAATAGCAGGAGATGATAGGAAAAAATGTCCTTGCTGGGAGCATAAAGCCAAATTCTTTTGAGAAGTGTGCTTTGCATCTCATTCTCAACTAAAGTTAGCCTACTTTAGCATAAGATGTTTAAGAGGAACCTCGGGAAACATCCAGCTTTCAAATGACCCAATAACAACAGTATTTCTAGTCTTTTAGCTTTTGAAAATAGTCTCTGAAAATTAGGAGAAGAAGAAACAGAAAGCTCCCTTTTGATGGCCCAGGGGAGCTGCTGAGATTCCCTCCTCCCCAATAGTGGAATGTGAGATGGAGGTGAGCACTGGCTTACACACCTGACTCACTGAGTGCCTGCACTGGGAAGCAAGCAGTTTGCCTCCTGACTCCAGAAAACGGGAAAGAGCAGGTACTTTGAAAGACAGGGATGGGGCAGGATGCTGAGCCAGATGTCCTCAGGTGAAATTAGCATACAGGAGAGGGCAGAGGAGAGAGGTACCTGGTTGAGAACAGGTGTGGAGTAACAAGTCAGATTTAAGAGAGCTGCCCAGCTACTCAGCAGCCAGAGGTGGGAAACTAGAAATGCCTCTTAAGAGATGCTGAAGGAGCCCAGAAGACAGACGGACACAGACTTTAGTAGTTTCCCCAACTATAAAGCTAGCTGGCGCATTGATGGCCTCAAGAGAGGGACACTTATGCACATTTACTGCTACTTTAATGCTTCCATCATGAGACAGACTCAAACCATCAAAAAGAATTTAGGGGCAGGATATCAGTTGTAGAAGAAAATTTAAATATATAAACAGAATCTAATTACTGTCCTCAGAGATAAGAGAAGATAATGGATCTATAATAAGAACAATATGCTGTTTACAAAAAGATCAAGAACAATCAGAATAAGGAAGAACTCTTCAAAATAAAAAAAAATGTGACAGCCTCAATTTAAAAAGTCAATAGAAGGTTTGGAAGATGAAAGTAAAAAAATTTTCAGTCAAGTCAAACAAAAAGAAAACTAATCAACAGAGAAACTATTATGTCCATCTGGTAACTATAGTGATTTCTAGAAAGAGAAAAAGAGGAGAAATTTTCAAAGGAGTAAGTGAAGTTTATGAATTTTAAGGCCCACCAACGTGATGCAACCAAAGAATAGAAATACACCCACTCTAACGTGTGTTAGCATGACAGAGTCCTAAAGATTAATAATCTTAAAAACCACAGTGACAAAAACAAACAAGCAAAACAAAACAGGTTGCTTACAGATCATCTGAAATCAGAATAGTGAGACACTTTTTAAGCAATATTGGTGCTGGAAGACTTGGAGGGTAGAGCAGTCTGAAGACCTGTACTAACTGGGGGTAGTTTGGGGGCCACATTTGGGTGGCAGTTGTTACCTTGGGGCCGTCTCTTGTCTGAGCACAGTTAACTGGGAGGGATGCACTGGTGAGCTGGTAGCCTGTAACAGTCCTGGCCAAAAAAGACTGAATGTGAGGACTGCTGAGTTGGAAGGGAGAATGTGGCCAGTGCTTTCAAATAGTGTCTACTGCAAACCCCAGAAGCTGGAGAGTTTGGAAAGACATAATATCCATTAGGCATATTTATAATATCTAGTTCTAGCATACTCTAGATTTTCCAGAGTAGTTTTTAAAGTATGATATGCTAGTTTAGATGCACTCTTTATAGTATTATGTAACATATAGAGCATTTCTTCATAGACACCTACCCATATACTGTGGTTTAATTTTTGAGCATTTACCTATTAAGGGACTTATAAACCTCCCATCTGAGAAATTTGATACTGTCATTGATTTACTGCTGTAATCAGTTGAGAAGGTTTGCTTACTCCACAGTTATGGAGAATAAACAGAATTACCTGCACACCAAGGTAATACAGATAGATCAGTGGCAGTTGGGCTTGTATAGACAATGGAAGATCGTGAACTTGGAAAGTGGAGAACTTTGACAAACCAGATGCTCAGGAGAGCAGTCTATATCTTGCGTGTTTTACAGTTGGTAATCAACTAAATCCTGAGCATTATTCATGCGTTTGGCAAAACTACCTACTTGTGCTTATCACATTGCAAGCAGCCCGGTGTCTGATAGAACTAAGACCTGTACACATGTAAGAAAAAATACAATCAAAGTAGAGAGTGGGAAACGCCATAAGGGATGTGCAGGTGTGGGTGTTTAGAAGAGAGAAATTTCTCTTGCTTGAAGTAATCTGGAACCAGTGAAAAATCTGGCAAGGAAAATATTGATGTATTTGCCACATTTCTAAATATTAAAAGTTGGAGCCATCTGGTATCATTTAAAGTAAGTGGTTTTAGGATAAATATATAAGAAAATCCCCTGTTTATAAACCACTGTTTATTCTCTATAACCTGTGAATTGTTTGGAAAAACTTATATTTGGGGGGTTATCCTTAAATTTGTGGAGCAAACAGCTATGCCCTGAATTTGTAACAAACTTGCTTCCAGTGTTTCAGAGCTAAGAGCCCATGATGTTGCCTGATCCAGTATGATTTTCAAATGTTTCTGCTACATAAAGTTTTTGGACTTAAAATAGAAATGTTGGGCCCTCCCTGGTGGCGCAGCGGATTAGGACGCAGCACTGCAAGCTTGCAGCAACCGCTTCAGTGCGAGTTCAGTCCCCCGCCTGGAGGTGGTCCACATGGTGTGGCAGACCTCTCTTGACCTGCCCGCTGCTCCCCTCAGAGTGTACTTCGTCCATCTGCCTGTTCTGCTCCCCACTCTATCTCTGGTGAAGCCTCTCAGCACCCCTGCACCTCTGGCCTTTACCCCAGTTCTGTATGAATAAATAAATACATCTTAAAAAAAAAATGGAAGTACTTTCCATAGAAGAAATCTTACTCACTTGCTTTCATTACTCACTTTTCAATTGCTCATCATTTTACAAATTAGTTTATTAGCTACCTACACATTGTGTACTTAAATGCACAATTCCATTAATTTTTGCATACGCACACACATATCAGGATATAGAATATTTCCTCCACCGAAAGGTTCCAAACCTACAGACCCTTTCCTGTCATCTGCTCTTTTACCCAGAGGTAACCAATATTCTGACTTCTTTTATCATAGGTTAGTTTCACCTGTTTTTGAACTTCATAAAGGAAGCAACCACTTACACACATTTATATAAGGCTTTTTTACACTCAGCATTCCTGATAGATTTGTTTGTGTTTTGCGTAGATTGGTAGTTCTTTTTTTATTGCTGTTTAGTATTCCATTTCCTGAACATACCTCAATTTACTTATTCCTTCGATACATTAATATTTGGGAATGGTTATCTACTGTGCATCAGTAAGGCTACTATGGACATTCTTTTGTGGACAGATAGTCAACCTCTTGGGAATTACTAGGTCATAGGATAGGCAGCTATTGTTTAGTTCAAGATATAATGCCAAATAGTTTTTCCAAAATGATTGTGTTAATTTACAGTGCTACATCCTTCGCAACACTTGGTATTGCAGTCTTTTTAATTTTAGCCACGGTGGTGAGTATTCACTAATAAATATGAACTACTGGTATTGTTCCAGCTTTATATCAAAGTATTAGTAAAATCTTTTTGTGTATAGTTGGTGGGTCCTAAGATCCGTTCTCATTGTACTTCTTACACTAACCTGTTACTTTTCTTTTTGTTTTTAGTTGTCACGGGTAGCACTGATGGAATTGGAAAATCATATGCGGAACAGGTAATTTTCAAGCCCTTTTTTGGCATAAAAATGTAAGACTATGAAAGAATATCTTAGGGTAGTTTTGATTTTTGAAATTAAAAACTTCAGCTAATGTTAAGTACCAGAGATACATTGTTTCTACTGTGTCAGAAATATCATGTCTGCTTAAATAACTTAAAAATATATTTTTGTGCAATAAATAAATAAATGAAATTGCCTGTTTTATTATTTCAGTTAGCAAAGCGTGGAATGAAGATTGTCCTTATCAGCAGATCACAGGATAAGCTGAACCAGGTTTCCAGTGAAATAAGTAAGTTCTCCCAACACCTTCCCCACCCCTCATGATTATAGAAGGAATCCAGCTAATTTAAGCTTCATGTTTACAAGCAGGTAACTAGCACTGACATTTTTCTAATTCAGAAAGCTTCTCTTTCATGATGTTGTTGGGGTGTTTTAAAGATGGAACATCAATTTTTCAAATTATTATAGGACCTTTATAATTTGCTTTAAATGTCTTTTACTGACATTTAGCTTTTGCTGTCCAAAGTCAACTTCTTATTTTATCATGATGTACTTAAACATTTGACTTCCCTTTCTGTTCCTTCATGGAGTATTTTTGCATCGTTGTTTTTACTCTTTTTTTTTTTTTTAAAAGATTTATTTATTTATTCATATAGAACTGGGGTACAGGCCAGAGATGCGGAGGGTGAGAAGATTCACCAGAGACAGAGTGGGGAGCAGAACAGGCAGATCTACGAAGTACACTGCTGAGGGGAGCAGTGGGCGGGTCAGGAGAGGTTTGCCACACCATGTGGTCTCCTCCGGGGCAGGCGGGAATCGAACTCATGCGGAAGTGGCTTTAGCTTCTCAGTGCAGTGCTTTAACCCGCTGCGCCACCAGGGAGGGCCCTGTTTTTACTCTTTTAACTTCGTGGTCTCTAAATATTTCTCAGAGATATGACTAAATGTGACTGAGGAAAAAATACAAGCGGTTGCATATATGCAGGTGACATCTTGAACTTTCTTTTTAGCTAGCCATGGCTAAGACCTGACTTACCATACAGCAAAGATGGCACCTAGCTAACCCCCCAGATGGATAAATCAGTCTGTACATTTTTCTGGTAAAGCACATTGATTGGTGTTCCCAGCCTGCTTGTTGTGACACTGGCAGGCTTCTCCGGAGGATCTTATGCACTCTGCCATCCCCCAGTCATAAGTCACATTATTCACTTAGTAAAAGCCCTAACTTTGTCCCTAACTTACTTATGCTGGATGCACAGGCTATTCAATATTCTATAAACTGTGATGCACTGTCACTGTAAAAATGGGAGTTACTGTTACAAAAACTAGGTTGAATGCTCTGGGGGGGGGAAAAAGTGAGTTCTTTCCAAAATGGACTGTCAAAGTGGGGATAAATGTAAAATATTGGAACAAAGTGTAAAACGTAAGAAGAAACTTGTTGATTGTTCATATGTGTTGAAGTTTTGGCTGCATTTTAAAAGAATTGAAACTGTCATTGTGAAAGACACATTATGTGTGTTCTTACTAGAATTTCAGCCAGCAGATGTAAACTCAAACATTCAGCGTTACCCAGACTCTCAGTGAAAGAATCACACTTAACGCTAGGTCTAAATTAAAATACAATGGTTGTGGCCCTTCCTGGTGGCGCAGCGGGTTAAAGCACTGCACTGAGAATCTAAAGCCGCTTCCGCATGAGTTCGATCCCCGCCTGCCCTGGAGGTGACCACATGGCGTGGCAGACCTCTCCTGACCCGCCCGCTGCTCCCCTCAGCAGTGTACTTCGTTGATCTGCCTGTTCTGTTCCCCACTCTGTCTCTGGTGAAGCCTCTCACTGCCCCTGAGCCTCTGGCCTGTACCCCAGTTCTGTATGCACAAATAAATAAATCTTTAAAAAAAAAAAAATACAATGGTTGTGATGTGTATTTACCATTTTTTAAGATTCCTTGCTTTAACTGACCCTGAGGAGTCAACTAATAAACTCCCCAATTCTTCAGATGACAGAAGATTTGTTTGATAATGTATTTCCCCTAAATTTATTATGTAATTGACTTGCCATGTAAGTTTAAGTTAGATGATTATATCCTTTGTCCTTCCAGAGAGATTGCACAGAGATGCACTTCATCTGTAGGTTAAAAATAATGATCTCTATAAACTTGTATTATTAGTATGCGGAATTTTTTCTAACCCTCCAGATAAACAGATTTCTATAAATGTGAGCAACACACACACACACACACACAGTCTTTGGCATTTACAGATATTAACTTCCAAGGTTTTGACTGTGTAAACACAACCCTGCCGGTCTAAGACACACAGTGTTTTGCAGTTTTGCTAAGGTGTGAAATTTAATTAAGCTGTAGCACTAATGAGCCCTAGGTAGTTATTGCTTAAATAGTACATGAATATAATACTGTCCCTATTTTTATGCTCTTTCTTTCTTGGTTATTTGTACTCTTGTGTATAGTAACTCTAGTGGTGATACAAATGGTTTGTATAAAATTGGTTGTTAATGAAGCATCTACTATGTGCTAGAAATAGAGGTTCATAGGCAGAAAATAGAAGCTTTTGATGAAACCAAGTGTTGAATTTGGAATGCTCTGATATGAATCCAGCATCTACTCACTACAGACACAAGAAGAGCTCCCTGATGATACTCTTTCAACAGGTGCCCCAGCCCAAGCAAAAATTGCTCAATCAGATAATATACTTGAACGATATTTGAGCATTTTGTTGAGTTGAATACTAGTTGCCATGTGACACACTTAAGACAGATGTTAGCAGCGTGGCTGCAAGGCCAGGAGACATAAACATTTATGTGAGGGCTATAATGGAAGTTCTCTGGTCCCAAATGTCAGCTGAAATTTTGAGAACCCAAGCTTGTCATGTTTTCTTTGTTCAGTAAGGGCCTCTGGTTCATTCAAGAGACACCACCCATACTAGTCTCTCTACTCCTAAACTCAAATGTGACTGCCACTCCGAGGTCCCGAGGCACTTTGCAGCATAAACTTTCTTATGACTAGCAACTGGTGTTAATTTGGTTAATTGCAATGCTACTGCATCGAGCCAAACCAACATTAAAATTCTTTTAAATTGGCCCTCCCTGGTGGAGCAGTGGGTTAAAGCATAGCACTGAGAAGCTAAAGCCACTTCCGCATGAGTTCAATTCCCACCTGCCCCGGAGGAGACCACATGGCGTGGCAGACCTCTCCTGACCCGCCCACTGCTCCCCTCAGCAGTGTACTTCATCGATCTGCCTGTTCTGTTCCCCACTCTGTCTCTGGTGAGGCCTCTCGCCGCCCCTGAGCCTCTGGCCTGTACCCCAGTTCTGTATGCATAAATAAATAAATCTTTAAAAAAAATTCTTTGAAATTAACTTTTGGGGGTCTCACTCTTGGTACCAATTTCTGTACCAGAGTTCAGTCAGGAAACCGAAGTAAGCGAGTTAGTTTAACGAGGCTTACCTGTTTTTACCAGTGCAGTCCTTAAAATTACCCTACTGGGTTAAACTTACTTCTCCTTCCTTCTTATCTGATGGAAAGAGTAGAAGGAGATTCAAAAGGAAGTTATGTGCCAACTGGAAAAAAAAAAAAAATAGGCAGTCTCCTGGCTCTTCTCCCCTCATCACTGTCATTGACTGTCATTATGCAAACTTGGCATTGCTTTGCTTTAGAAGCAATTCCTTATACATACGAGGACTGTCTACTTATCAAAGTTCTTCAGAACAAATTTAAAAGGGTTACATGTTTTTAGTAGGGAACTGAATATTGTACTAGTAATGGATAAATGCTTTCTCAGCATTGCCTGCTTGGGTGAAATTATAGTTCTTTGGAAAGACACCTGTCACCTTTCAAGACAAGCTGAAATTCAGCAGGCTGTGTTAATCTTATTTTATCATCACCTTTAGTCTTGATTATTAATATATTAGGTGTTTTTCTCCATTTGGACTTGTCAAAGAAAAAAACTTGATAGTTTTTTAATTCTGAGGTGAGTTTACTTCATACAGCATAATGTAGACAGCTCATAGACTATAGAGGTGATGATACTTATATTATGTGGCTGGCATTTCTGATTGCATATTGTATAATCAGCTTTGATTTGGGGAAATACACGTTTCGTTGATTAAACAAAAAACTGAACATGATGTTTTCTCTTCTTGGTAACTTATCTCAGGGTGTGAGCCTTAGGACAGCCCTGGAATTTCAAGGCTTTGTCTTTTAAAATCCAAGGCTCTTTAGAAATCTTACTGGTCTATAGTTCACTGAGGAATAGAATAAGATAAAAAATATCAGTTTCATTTTTTCATTCCTTCTACTGTCAAATTGGTGCAGTTAAGCTGCAGATTGACCAAGTAAGTTTGTTCTATAACTTTCTAATGCACTGTGAGTGCTTATGTCTGTTACCTATGGACAATGAGACATTAAGTGAACAAATGGACTTTTTTTATGTTAATAAAACTAGAACCACATGATATTATGATTAGAGAACTAAGATCATTCAGCCCCTAGGGTCATATCTGTCACATTTTCTTGTCTCTTCTGTAGTACCAGAAATATTTGTATTGTCTGAGTTCACATATTCCAAAATCAGGAACTGGGAACCCAAAATCATCCAGTTTATCTCTACTGGCTTTACCTGTAGATTTTGTGACTGTTAGTGCTATCCTCTAACTCCAAGATTCCCAAGTTCATTGTTAACTGGCCTTCCAAAGAGTGACATTCTGTATTCCTTATAAAATTGAGACTTTCAAAGCCAAAGAGTAGGTACCAGGATAGTTTCTAAAAGGCCTTTGAAGCATTGTTTCCATAGATGGGAGTGCAGTCGTTGTTCCTCAGTAGTGGGCTTGTCATGCCTAATTAGATGAGATTTACCATTAAATGAAACATTTCTGGCATGGTCATGGTTACAAACTTGTTTTCTGTAATTATATCCTGGTAGGAAGAAGCATAGATTCTCATTAAGTCTATGTAAATAAATACATTGCCATGTAAAGTAAAACGAATGATGTAGAGACATGTGTGTAATATTTGACATTGTTGTGACTAGTTTTGCAGAGAATGCGTTCAGTTTGGTGTGTATTTCCTATGCAGTTTTTAACTTTAAGTGTAATGATTTGTTTATGTTCTAGTTACTATTGGTGAATAACTTAACACCCCAAACTTACTAATGAAAAAGAACTGTTTCAGATGCTTACACATTTTGCTGGTCAGAACTGGTCAGGAATGCCGCCAAAACTTAGGGACAGTTTTTTTTCTCCTCTTTGCATTATTGATGTCATTTGGTCATTCTCAGC